TATATATATATATATATATATATATATATATATATATAAAAAATAGGGATTCTCATTTGTATACGTCTTAAATGAAAAAAGGGGACCTATAATTCCCAGCGTCCTTTCAACGCGGTGGTTTAGTTAGAGTTATCATGATTTATGCGTTCAATGGATACGACCCCCCTACCCCCCTCCTTTCCTTTCCTTTCCTTTCCTTCCCTTTCCATCCTCTACATAGCTGTTGAATCAAACCCTACCCTGCTGGTATTGTGCCAGCTTTGAAGTACACCCAATACCTTTGCGTAAAAATGTACCATTTGGCAAGACGCACGACGTGAGGGGCTGATGCCACCTCGAGTGTATGAGAGAGAGAGAGAAAAAAAAAATAACGCGGATCCATTTTAGAAATGGCTATTGTATTTATTGAAAAGGGTGTATTCGTTCTACATTTTTTTTAAGCTGCGCCTTTCAACGCCCCAAAACTCGATTAGATATAACAAAAATATTTGGACATGTTTGAGGCTTCGTGTCAGGTAGCGTCCGGTTGATGTGTCGGAATAGACCGCTTTGTTACATAATTGATCTGACAGGATTTGGCAGAGTCTGACCCGGTGATGACACATTTGTTAAAATCAGCTCACGTTCTGTGAACATAAGCCCGTATGCCTATAGGCCTGCCAACCGATGGGATTGTTGTGCAAAGGCCAGATATCCATACTCCAATTTAGAACAGGAATTCTGCATGTAGGTACAACTATGAGTGAAACCTATGGTCAGAGCTGGCCCAAGTCATTGCAAAGTAAGGGTCAGCTTAGGGTCCCACTGCCAGCAGGGTGCTGCAAAGGGAAGAGATTTGAGACATAGATAATGTATCTGCATTACAAAACACAAGCATAAATGTCCATTGTGAAGCTCATAAGTGATGCAGACCTTTAAAACCATGCAGGTGGCAGCAAAAGAACCTTGTAGACATTGTTTAAATATTGCATAAATTGTGTTTTATCATCTTATCATGGTATGTCATATTCTCTTTTTCCCCCCTCACCCTATAATAGTTACAGCTTTAGACTACTGCTTAACTATGACAGAAGCATCATCTTGATGGGTCAACTTTAACCCTCTTTTCAGTGTTGGAAGCTAATAGCTGCTCAGTGGGCATGTAGAAATGTAAAGACCACCAATTGAAAGAAGGAGCTGAATGGGGCTACCCTCTAAAGAGTCTTTATGAGCCTTATAGTCGAGATTTGGAGAAAGATTCTCATAGACAGTCTGTATCTCAGCTCATTATAGGTGACCGTAAGACAGTAAAAGAGGATGATTTTAATAAATGATTGATGTTGTCCCCTGTGAATTACTGTATGTATGCTAATTATTGGTTGCCATTGGTAACATTACACACATGGCATTTTCTATGGGTTCTGAACAGTCTTTCCCACCAAAATGTAAATGTTGTTAAATGAGTTAACTGCAGCTTCCAAAATAGTCTTATTTTTATTAGATGTAACCATTAAGCAATCATAATTTATGTCTAAAAAACAAAAATCCCAGTCTTGACTCAGATTAGCCCATTTTCTTGTTTCTTTTATCATCAAAACCATTGCTGGATCATAGATACAACAAACTGACCTTTTTTATTTACCTTTGTATTCCCATTGACATTTTATTCCCTAGAGCTATATATATATATATATATATATATATATATATATATATATATATATATATATATATATGCAAGGGTTAAATGAATATAACTGAATTTCTTCAGTAGGGCATTCCTAGAGTGTCTAGCAGTGGATGCCAGTACATGGTTGAGTCACATTACCTCACATGTAATGTATAAATAGCTGGTAAGTTTAAAAGTTTGGAGATTAAATATATATTGATATAATCTCCAAATTTAAATAATTAGTCATTATTTCAAATGGCATTTTATTCTGTTTTCCCTTATTTTTTATATTTTAGGTGCGTCCTGACCTCTTGTGGCCTTTATGCCAGAATTGTTGTGCTATTTAAACCATTCATCATCGTCAACAGCAAAAATCTTATCGCTATATGTAATTTTAGAATTTTGTTATCTTACAATTTTCACAAAAGTGAGACAAATAAATTTTCAACAATCTTCAAATAATTTTCGACCCCGATACTTTATTAGCAAAAGATCTACCTCCAAACCTAAGTTCAAAAAGACCCCTAGAAATTATTTTTTTCCCTGCTTTAGATTTTTTTTTATATCTTTAAGCTTTTAAGTATCCTAAAACATTTGACTAACTTCTCCAAAATGCATAATTTTTAGTCATTCTTAAACTTAGGTGATGTTATCTCCAAACATATGGTTCAAATTAAACTAATAAAACTTAATATTTCCCCTGTTCATAAGAACTCTATCTAGCTTGTTTTCCTTTTAAAAGAATCAGTGACTAAATGTATTGGATGCCATAATTGCACACTGCCATCTCCTCTGCTGTGACATTACAGTATTACACTCAGTGCTGCCCTTGCTACACTTGTTACACTGGAACTGATTTCCATCACACTAATACATGTCAGGCCAAGAGCTTTTCTTGCAAGATAAGATCTCAGTTACATTCTATTCCTGACATCAACACTCCAAGCCCTTCAACCCTCCCTCTCCACTGTCTATAGCCCATGGGATCAGAGCGGATGGAGATGCGAAAGAGGCAGATGTCGGTGCAGCAGGAGTCGGCAGCGGGGGGAACTGCACCGGCCCAGCAGGACCAGCCGGGCGAAGCCAACCCGCGGGGCTCCAACGCGTGTTGCTTCTGCTGGTGCTGCTGCTGTAGCTGCTCCTGGTAGGTCTGAGACTTCACTCACTCAGGCGCAGCGTGACCAATATTACTGCATGCGAGATCCAACGGCAAGCTGGTGTGTCTCAACAGCAGGTCTTAGTTTCTGTTTCACACTCTTGATAGATGTAGATCTGATCCATGGATTTCAGTTAAGCAGCAACAGCCTCATCACATTTAGGAGAGAATAAACATCGTATTCAGACTAATGTCTGGATAAAAGCGTTGCTTGTCTGCAGCTTTGCATTCTGACTGACACAATCAGAATGAATATGAATTATTAAGAAACTGATGCATTTGAAACTAACGTAAAATCATAACTTCACCACCGGATACATAAAAAAACAAAACAAAATCTAACAAAGTGGGAAGGGTCTAGACATGGCCAAGCGTGACGGTGAGCGGTTAGGGCGAGGGAAAGTAATAGTGAATATAATATGGCTAAACAATCTAAGTATCTAAAATAAAATGCTCTGTGGACTAATTGGCAATAAAATGCTTACATAAAAAAACCCTATGGATCAGTTCTCACAACTCTTGACTCAGCTTGTTGGTGGATGTCTAAGTGAGATTGTTTTATGGTGCTTTTCCTTTTTATGTTAAATCAGAATACCATCTAAAATAGTGATTTCCTTAAGTTTTTAAAGTGGTTATCATGGCCAGAAACAAATGATGAAGAATATGAGCATTTACAAACCGGAAACTGAAACACGACACTTAACTTCTCAGTTTCTATCAAAAGTAGCATTACGCCCGAATGTGGTATGAGATTTTTTTTAACAAAATCAGAGTCTAACTTAATTCTGACTGGATGTAAGAGCGTTCATCTTATAAGAAATGATACAGCTCATTTTATTAGTTAGTTTCTGGACACAAACTAAGCTTTTAAGAAGCATCCATACATTTTTAATATGCCTGAGGTCAGTGCCTTTCCACAAGCCTGATGTGAGCTTGTTTTATCCATTTCAGTTGTTAAAGGTTTTCTACCACCATTGCAAACAAATCAATTATCCAGTCGTCTCATCTTTCAACTGCCTGACTGAATGTGTTCCTCCTCAAATGTGAACAAATTGGTGAGCATTATCAGAAACAATCCAAAAGCCAAAAAGCCTTATGTCCGTTGTAACTGAAAGCTGCTAGAACAATGTTTTATTGTACAAAGAAAAGAGTTTTTTTGGACTGAGAGGATATTGACCAACAAAGAAACATAAGCTTCAAAAATGGATTCATTCAAGTTTGGAAAAAAAAAATAGCAGAAAAGGTTTATTAAATAAAAAAAATGGTAGGGCTATTTGATTCTAAAGACACATTGAAAGTTGAAGGAGTCTGTGTATAGAAAATGACAGTAAATGTTGTCTAAGTCAATGTGAAGCTTTCAAATACAAGAACAATGGCCTGCATTTATAGAATGCTTTTCCAAGACAGGGAAACTCCAAAGTGTTTTACAGTACATGCAGCCATTCACTCATTCACATGCTGCTGGCAGATTTTGTTAAGATGCTAGAATAAATTGAGCACAAAAATAATGAGTTTCTGGAAGTTAATTCAAGATTAAAACAACTAATTTCAAAAATCTCATATCATTACTACTAAAGGCCCATAAATAGAAAAAAAAGACTGAGACAAAATACTGAAGATTTTGGTGTTGAGTCTGAATATTTTGACCACTCAAGCTGCTTTCACAGTGGGAACAGTTAACTCTGTCTGGTAACATGAGGACTTTAATGAAAAATGCAAAACCTAATTGATCATAATTGGAAACTTGTAAGGATGGGCAATAAATGAAGGTTTTAGGAATATCGTAATTAATACTGTCCTCTCAATTTTATGTATTATTATTGCTGTTACATGGAGTCCTTATATTGAGCAGCTCCACTTCCTATTATAAGGAGGGTTCCACATCACCATGGAATGACTGGATGCTGACTGGAAACAAGCATCAGCTCCCAAATCAAAGCCACTGAGATGAACCAGTCTTCAGCTTCCCGTATGCACAACCTAAATGCAATGATGCAAGTGCCCATCCCTGGCTCTTAATTGGTTGGGAGGAGGGTATACTCTGGATAGTTTGCAATTTAGCGTAGCCACTTTACAGGCATTTTTGTTTTATTTGTGGGGAAACGAGAACCACGAGAGAACCCACTCATGCAACAGAAAACTAAGGGGTAAGATAATTTTCATTAAAAATTATGCATGAGTGTCTGATGTTGTAAATGTAGGTCAGTAAGCCTACTGTATATTGATCTAAGTTTCTATATTTGATCTTGATCATCTCATGCATGCATACATGTAATGAGATGTTTCACTTGTAAAATACAAGTTTAAAAGCTACAAATACATATTGCTTTGCAACAATACAAATACAAATCAAAAGGTCACAAATACCAATCTACAATAGCATATTAGGGGAGAGGAACCTAGTGATTAGGGAATAGAGCTTGGAATCCTGAGGTTAGGATTAGGGTTGGAGTTCGAGCCCCACTCCCACAGACTGCCACTATGGATCCCTGAGCAAAGACCCATAACCCCACACTGCTCCCCGGGCACCGCACAATGGCAGCCCACTGCTCCCCAAAGGGATGGGTTAAATGCAGATGGCTCTTTTCATTGCTCTGTACTTGTGACAGTGTAATGATAATAAAAAAAAATGTGGAAAAAGGAAAACGCATATAAAACTGTAGTACTCCTTACTAGTTGGTGGTTGACAGTGCACCTGGAAAATGTTTGCTGTGTTTTTTTGTTAATGTGAAGGAGAGGAAATACGTCCAATCAGTGGTTCTATTAGTGGTTAGCCAGCAACCTTTAGGTGCATTACTACCATCAAGTGGTAGGGAGAGTAACATCTTCATCAGGGGTTTTAGATACTTGTAAATGTTTTATTTGTACTTTCAATTTTACAAATTTTTTACTTTCTAACTTATATTTGTAACTTTTAAACTTGTCTTCTCCCAGATGAAGCATCTGATATCAGTATGTATGAGTTAAAAACAATGAATGAATACAAATCTTGAATTTATTCACATCACTGACTTCCAATTATGGTTTCAGACATCTGTGTGTACATTTTTATTGAAAGTTATCCCTTGCAGGACTTGCAAACTCTAATGCAGATTGAGATCTACAGCCAGAATCTTCCTACTGCAAGCCAACAGAGTTCATGTGTTCTAGTGGGAGGTTTTATGGTCAGATGAAGACTGACTTCAATGTTCGGAGCCAAGGGGAGGCATTCAAATCTAAACAAAATAACAAAAAATGGAACAATGGATGACTTTTGGCAAATTCATTAACTATTTTAATTTACACTAGCATAACTGTGCCTGTTTAAAGTTTACATACATTCATCATTGGTATTAATGTCTTATTGATTTTTTGACTTTTATTCTAGAGTGCAGGTAGTACAGTCCATCATCCCTGAGGGATATTCAGCCAAACATAATCGTATGAAAATAGTCGATATCCTAGCACCTGGAAAAATAAGGAATGCACCATTAAAAACTCCAGATCGATACGACATCCATGCCAAAGATGTTTATATACCTCAAATATGCACTGTGGGTTGTACTGTAGATTTATAGTGTAGTGCCACATATATATCAAATATCGATAAAGAAATCTCTTTTATAGTGTTTTGTACTTTTGTACCACTTAATTACTAAATCATTTCCATGACCAAAAATGTAAAATCAATATTTTTCACCAAGTTCTTTCTCTGTTTTGAACAGGAATGAAGACAGGGATGAAAGGAATCGAAAGGCATCATATGATGTCAAGGAAGGGAACTCAGACTGTGAAGACTGGTAAGGCTAAATCCCTACTAAACAATGCCTGACAAATAAAACAGAGTTCTACTCCATCAGATTGATCAGTCAATCAGATAAGTGATTTACTCCCCTGTTTTTTATTTTACATGCAGCCCAAAGCCCACGCTGGAGGAGGTACGCATGTGGGGGCAGTCGTTTGACAAGCTGATGTGCTGTCCAGCGGGGAGGAACTCTTTCCGGCAATTTCTTCGCACCGAGTTCAGCGAAGAAAACATGCTGTTCTGGCTCGCATGCGAGGAGTTCAGCAAGGAGACCAATAAAAGTGTGATTGAGGAGAAGGCCCGGCTCATCTACGAGGACTACATCTCCATTCTGTCGCCAAAAGAGGTGTGGGACCATTATTGATTTCATTTGGTCTAGATAAGGTTTGTTTTAAGGGCCTTATGATGTCCTGCTTGAAGGAGAATATCAATGCCACTTTTATTCTTCTTTGGTGAAGCCTCTTTCAATTAGCTTAGCTTTGCACAACGTTTACCTCTACAGAAAGATGTTAGGTCCAGCTAATAAATTCCATCATATCTATACACTAATGTGTGTTTTCTTAAACTCAGGGTTTTTTTTTCTGAAACTCCTACTAAATAAATGAACTAAAGTTTTAGTCAGTCCATACTCAATATGCAATAATAAGTTTACAGACTCCTGGAAATTGAAACAAGACACACATAAGGTGAGCTTTTTTATGAAAATAGATGTAATTTAGCAGATACAAGACACTTTATGAGAAGATGTAATCTAATAAACATTCATGTGACTATACGATAGTTTTAGGGTTTAGCTTGGGTGTCTTGTTTGGTTATCTATGCAGTTTAAGTCTCACCTAACCAAGGCTTATGTGTCCTTCATTTGGATCTCCTCTCATTCCCATTGCAAGCTCTGATTAAATGCTGCTGGAATGATCAATTAGTCGAAGTGAGCCAACCGATCACTTTACAGATAATCTACAGTAATGAATATGAATGATTTTTTATGATATTAAATAATTTCTCCCCAATTGACTCTAAAAAAAATTGTTTTAATTCCCTGATCCAAAGCATGTGGCAAGTTTGGGACAGAAAAATCAGATACACATGCTACTTTATATATTAAAAGTCACAGCATTGTGAGTTTAGACATGTTTACAATTTTCATTAAACACAATTTAATATATGGAAAACAAATTATCCTCTTTGTGTTAATTCACAAATTAGCTGTGATTAACTTGATTTAGGGATAGCTGGTTTTAAAATCGCAGTCCACAACTAGAGCTGTAGACTTAAGACATTTCTGGAGCAGACCTTGTTTGACAAAATGAAGAAGGCTAATAAATCTTAAACACAATACTTGCTTAAATGTAAAAAATAAAATAAAAACTGACTCTATAACAAAAGAGGAAGATGGGAAGACAAATTTGTCTTAGTTAGGGCTTAAACAATTAATGCCATTAATGCATTAGAATAGAATAGAATAGAATAGAATAGAATAGAATAGAATAGAATAGAATAGAATAGAATAGAATAGAATAGAAAATCCCTTTATCATCCCCCAGTGAGAAAATTCCGGTGGTTAAAATGGTCACACAAATATGAACCTTAGAAAAATGTCTAAGAATAATATAATAGTGAAGAGTTAAAAGATAAACAATAAAATAAAGTGTTTTAAAAATATAAAAACTGTGCACCTGGAGAATAATTCACCAATATACAGCTATGGACATTTTTACAGTTATGGATATTTGAAAATAGCAGCAACATTAGAGATGTGCAAAATGACAGCTGCGTGTTATTTAACTGACTAAGATAGAAACTGTGCAAAATCAGCATGAATGTAACAATTTATTGAGGTTGTTGATTATTGGAATAATCATAAACTAATTTAGTAATTGATTAATCGCTAACTGGAGTGTAGAGACTTTAAAACATGCCTTTAGCTGACAGAGCAACCCACAGTAAAATTGTAAAAAAAAATGAAATAAAATAAAATATATATATATATATATATATATATATATATATATATATATATATATAAACATTTTGCATTCAATATTCTCTATCCAGAACTCTAATTGAAAGCGTTTTAGGTTCTCCTGGTTTAATTTTGCAAAAGATCTGCTTTAAGGAACCTTTGGCTATCCGATTATTAATTGACTAATCTAAAAAGTAATCAACAGATTATTCAATTTGCTAAATAATCGTTAGTTTGCAGCCCTAGTCTATATAGTGAGAAACAGCAACAGATCTTTTTATTTCCCGATTACATGTAATCTACAACACTAGACAGAAGTGCATAAGCATTAGTAAAGCTGCTGTTGTAGTTTAATGCTGACTTTGTGCAAAGTTAAGCTAATCAGGGAGGTTGTAAATACTTTTTGTTTAAACTCTTGAAATAATGAAAAATGCCATTTCTTACCTCCTCACCACACAAAAACAGAACATTCTATTCTTCCTGATGTTGTATTTTCTCAACTTCCAGGTGAGTCTTGACTCCAGAGTGCGAGAGGCGATAAACAGGAACATGCCGGAACCCAACTTGCACACGTTTGATGACGCTCAGTTGCAGATCTACACGCTAATGCAAAGAGACTCGTATCCCCGCTACTTGAACTCCCCAGCATACAAAAATCTGCTCAACACTCTGTCAGAGCAGTCCCCCGAATCTTAGGGTGGCGACGACAACCTGTGATCTTTTAACTCTCTTTGTCCTTTCTCAGTCCTTGAATCCCCACCTACCCAATCGATCCCTACACCAAGTTTTTGAAAAGAAAAAAATCTATATATATCTTTGTATGTTCAGTGTAGGATTACATGAGCCAGGCCTCGGGCCCCGGCCCCCTTCCCAGGGATCACAGTGCTATTGTGATCTGCACCTGACCGAAGACACTCAGGTCTTAAAAACCTCCCGAGGGCTCAACATCACATGTACTGCTACAGATCAACATAGCAAAACACTCCAAAGGAAGATGAATAACTTTAATTCTTTTTTTTCATTTTCTTCTTCTTTTGATAGAAATATTCTATTTTATTTGTGTTCAGAATTTTTTATGGTCTGTTGTTTTTTGTATGATTGTTTTGGGGGAAAATAATTCCTAATGTAGATTATATACATACATATATATATATTTATGAGTTTGTAAATAGTTCAAATGGAAATGTGAGTATTTTATGTGGAAACGCCTGGTTCTATTTACTGCGTATGAAAATCAAAGCTCAAATCAAAGCTACACATTAGCTTGACTTGCAGGCAGCTTTGTGAGGTACTGTTGTATTATTTATTCTTATTTGTTTTCACTTTGGTTTGTCACCAAACCTCGAATATCAGTACCTGTGGCAGCGACTTGGCAACTCCAGTTGTGCACAACCAGTGTGTGCTTTAGAAAGGAGAGATGGGATGCAAGAAGCAAAAATCAATAATGATGAAGAGTGTTTTAGATTTTATCCATTGCCTATAAAAGATATTGTTGTTTTTTTTAATCCTAGTGTTACATATTGAACACCTCACAGGTGTATTAAAGATTTATTGGTGTCATGTTTGAAGCTTAAGTAGAGTTTACCAGAGAAAGTATTTTATTTAATATTGTTCCATAAGAAAAAAAAATTTAAGTTATATGAGAAGTTTTAAATTAAAGTAAATAACAGAAAGTTTTGACATTTAAATTAAGATAATATTTATTTTATGGGTCTAAATTTTCCAAAAACTTTCAAACATTTTCCTGATAATCACTACGTTGTTGTATAAAAAAAGCAGTTTCTGATCTAAATTTTTTATCTATTTTGCTTTTATTTTAAAGATATAAATCAATATTTTCACATCTCTTACCTGTTTTTTAGGCTTGTAACTTATTACAGTTATATGTTTTAAACCACAAAGTCCATGAAAACAAACCAGGAAAAAAGTGATGTCATATTTGTTGGTGTCAAGTACCTAGGTGTCCACCTAGGACCGAAGCTGGAGCTTTGAGATCCAACAAACCACCATTTAAAACAATAGTATGAATCTCTGCTTCAAAGCAGTAACATACAACAGAACGTAGAGCATCGAAATTTAAAGGATTGGTTTTGCACACAAACATTTTGATTTATCAAGAAATTAAGCATGTAAGATTTTATTAGGGGTGCTGACTGATGAGCAACACTCTTGATGCATGCTGTTCTTGAGTCATGCAGACAAAGTAGATCCATGGCTCATGAAGTTTGTCTGATTACTACAGTGAACATTTTCTCAGAGGGGATTCCTCCCTCTGACAGCACTTGATATATCACTAATTTAACATGATCTGAGCGAAAAATTATATTTGATTGCTTTTCCATCTTAAGTCTCTGCCAAACTTTTGTCCACTTAGTGACCACATGTAAAGTACTTACTGGTAATTTAAAAATGTATTTGGCTACTTTCTTAATATCTTGCCATATTTGTGTAAAGCAATGCTATCTATATTTATTTTAGGTGCTTTTTGCACCAATATTACTATTCTCTCTTGGTTTCTGCCAACTGCAGCACTGCTGGTATAATATTTAAACAAAAAATATGAAAACAGGTGAATCATGGCATTGACGTTCCTGTTTTTGTTTTGACGTATCTGCTTAGAAAGCAATGGAAAGGCTGACTGGGATTTATTTATTTTATATTTAAAAGATGTTGGGGTTTTTTTCTGGCTCTTCTCTACATGCACTGAAATGTTTTATGACTGCATTTATTTGACCTGATAAAAAAGTTCTGGCTTAGGATATGTTTTAACTAAATAAAAAAAAAAGAGCAGTTGAAACATTTTTAGCAATAAATTTATAATGAAAATAAAAGTTAGAATATTTATCAAAAAAAAAAAAAAACACTCAGGAAAGTGGTGAGAAATTACAGACCTGTTAATCAAGCATCACTTATGAGAATGATTATAAACCAGTTATACATGTTTGAAAAGTATACAAAGTGTTATTAGCAGAACTGATGGTTGGGGGTCTAGCCAGGTTAGCATCAACACCAAAGTTATCTTGTAAACTGTGTTCATATGTTTTAAGAGAGTGCTGACTAAAATTGGAGTTGCCAAGTATTTAATACATATAGTATCTAGTTTTATTTGAATTACTTTGTTGCCTCACATCCTGTCACTCGAAGACAAGATCCTCACATGAGGAAGTGCCTTGGCATGCAGTTTTCTGACATCTTTCTCATGGGCAACAGTTGTTTCACTGTCTTGCGCTGTAACATTGTTCCCCTGGAGCATGACTACAGTTTTACTGGAATTAGTCCCTCTCACTGGCTAAAACATCTTGTGTTTGGTCTCTGTTCCTCTATCGTGAGTAAATCTCTTTATTGTGACAGAAAGCAGCACCTCTTTGTCGGCTGGAAATAGAGACGGCTGTGACCGGGGCTGAGGAAATGGGGCTTTTCGCCAACCTGTGTGCTTCACGGTGGCACTTGTCTTAGAGTTCACCCAAAATCACTATATACAATGTGCAATTTGAGCTGATGGGTTACACGGTGTGGATCAACCTCAAAACACAATCTAACCCAATGGCTTGGACTGATGCCTATAAATGTTACTTTTGTTTACTATATAAAATGTGTTATTTTGCTCTGAGTTTACTTATGAAGACATTTTTCGAAATAAAAAACAAATAATGTGAATGTTTACAGTATGGTTTAGGTTTAGTTTTTTTTTCTTTGGTTGTTTTTTCCTTCCACTTTCATTAAATAAATTGACTTGTGGGCATTTTGATTAAGGAAAAAAAAATAAAGCACAATCATTTTACTCATTTTGGGGTCTGAGTCATTAATACATCTTGACATAAATAAGAAAATAGTTGAATTTTATTTTTTTTAGCTATTTTTAGACAATACATATTAAAGCTAAGCTTAGAAAATTTTTGTTTGTCCTTCTTCTACATGAGCAGAGAAACATGTCTTAATTATTCTGTTTTCAATAGTTCTTGACCGTGGTTGATTTTACAGTACAGGAAGCAGTCCTGAAACTAAATCTGCATTTCAGTCATATTGTTTTTTTAGTGAGTTTTATGGTGAAGAAAAAAAAAAAAAAAGCCTTCTCCCGTTCGGTTTTAATAATTCTGGATCAGACCCTGGGGAAAGCGGAAATAATGGCCAAATTTAAATCATTTAAATCATAACACAATTATTCAGTAGAGATTGAAACATTGATGGTCGCCTGATAAAAGTTAATCTTAAGATATACTCAAAGTAAAGAAGGACAATCAGCTTCTTTTTGTTGTAAAATCACAGTAAAGTAATATGCTTTTTAAAGGAACAAATGTAAATTTAGATACATAAAATCTTACCATTTACCTAAATCTTTAATATTCTTGCTGTTTAGGTTGTTATTTTCAGCATTTTTTTGAAATATTTTGATTTTACTGCATCTGCTGATTTTTGTTTTTAAAGACGGGGTAGATGATCAGATGTAAGAAGATGAATAATTGATTATTATGGAGAAAAACCTCCAGGCAGCTGCAAAAAAAAATTTGGACACCATTTTCCTATACAACCAGGCCTGCTGTTGAGTTGTACAGTATAAGGCGATGCATTAGCCATATGGTACAAAGGCCTATTCAAAGTCCAGCCAAATTTTTTTATTGAGAATTATTTTGAATATAAAACATTTTAAGTCTCTGACTGCACAAAACTATAACTTAGGGTTATGCAATCATTTGTGTTTTTCTAAACATTCAATTCAATGAAGTTTGGTTCAAAGTTCTTTTTATTTTTAAAGAAAACCAGCTGACTACATCAACTCATTTACTCGAAAGCAACCCATCACACCAAGCATGCTGGTAGTGACAGTGGAGAGGAAACCTCCAGCAGAACAAGGCTCAGTGTGAGGCTGACTGGGGTTAAAGGAAACAGAAGTAGACATAGAAAAAGAAACAAAGATCTATCTAAAAAGGTAACTGTCAACAAGCTCCACAGGCGGCCCCGTCCAGAAAAAACACAGCCAGGAAGACGAGCTCCAAGCCAGTTCCCATGTAGATCAAAGAAAGCACATACAGTTAGTCAGTCAGAGAAACTACACTAAAAAAAAACAGTCTAAGCTCCAACATCTTTAAACAAAGGTATTGATGGCAGCACTCAAGCTAATATTTCTCTCTGGGATGGTGTCATAGCCAAACAGTAAAAGACCAGTTCAAGCTACAAAGACGAGAAAAAAACAGAGCGCTTGAAGTTAGAGATTGAACCAACAAATACTGCAGAACGGGCAAATAGATACTGTAGAATGAAGCAGAATGATGAAAAGGGGCCCCTATGTCCTCCAGCAATCTAAGCCTATAGCAGCAAAACTAAAGAGATACCTCTGGATAACCTGAGCCATTTTAACAATAAGCTTTATCAAAAAGGAAAGTTTTAGCCATAAAGTTTTGCCTTAAAAGTAGACAGGGTGTGCCTCACAGACAAACTGGTAGTTGGTTCCACAGGAGAGGAGCCCGATAACTAAAAGATCTCCCTTTACTTTTAGAAATTCTAGGGACAACTAGTAAACCTGCAGATTGAAAGCGAAGTGCTCTGTTAAGAACATAAGGAACAATCATGTCTAAGATATAAGACGGAGCTTGGCTATTTAAGGCATATATGTGAGAAAGTGTTTTTTTAAATTCTATCTTGCATTTAACAGGAAGCCAATGAAGAAGCTAGGAGAGGTATGATCTCTCTGAACTCTGGCTGCATCATTTTGGATCACCTGAAGGCTTTTCACTGCAGTTTGATTTAAATGTCAGGCCCTGATCAAAAATAAGTTTCACTTTATTATCTGAGATCAATTTAATCCCATCCAAATGTAGTGATTGAATTGTCATTACTTTTTTAGAGACTCTGGTACAAAGGCAATAATTTCTGTTATGTCTCTATTTGGAAGCAGAAAGTTAAGAGTTAAGAGGTTTTTATATCTTCAATATTACAATTTGTGGTCATAAATAAAGAGTTTAAAAGTAAGAAATACTTTTGGAAGATGCTCTAGGTTTAACCCTATAATCTTATTTGTAAAATATGACAGATGGAGGTTTAGGATGGGTTGTAGAAAGGCAGCAAAGCTGCTCATTATCACAGAGTGCTTGCACCTGGCAATTACAAAAGCTCCAGGAAAGGGGGAACAATTGGGTTTTTCCTGATCCAGCCAATGACATTATCTCTTTCTCTAGACAGATTGATCATATGCATACATCTGCATTCACTTTGAATTGATGAATATTCCACCAATTACAAAAATATACTCCCACACACTCATACAGGATGTGTGTCCACTCAGACCCTCACAGGCATTAGGATGATGTTAAAGATTTACATAAGCAGTGAAGATTAATAAAAGACGAGTAATTAGGAGCACCACTTTTTAATCAAATGGATTACACTTTATTGGGAATTAAATAAAACAGTACAATGCTGTGCTGGGAAAGCAAAAAAAACAAAAAAAAAAAAACATTATCCAAAGTGTTAAAACTACATATAAAAACGCAGATAAAAGAGAATGACACAAGTCCATAGCATATATCTGACAGCAAGAAACAACTAATAACAACAGTAAGAGATTTAGAGAGAGGGTCCTTAAGGGAAGTGACAATAAGCTCAATCTATGACCAAGATATTTACTCAAACGGTAACCGTAGTGGCATCTTGGATGTCGAGTACAATGTAACCACAGAAGACAAAGCTCCGCTCTGCTGCAGATGGATAGAACCTGGTCCGGGAATTTTGCTACTTGTCGGGAGTGCCGTGGATGAAGCCAACAGATTCAGCAGAACTAGGAGAAAAGATGCATTTTGATGAACTAAAAACACCACAGACTAAAAGTTTTCAGAAGTCTACAGTCAACAGAGCCCTCTAAGAGGACATTGAAGTAAAGTCACGCTTCCTTTTGCTGAAAAGCTGTATGGAGATGATTTTAATTTCCATCAGGACCTGACACCTGCCTATGCTGCCAAAGCTAGCAAATGTTGGTCCAATGACCATACTGCTCCTGTGCTTTATTAGCCAGCAAACTCATCTGGCATGAACCTCATGGAGAATTTTGGTAATAATGAAGATCAGACGGCAGACTAGGGATGGTTAACAAATTCTGCACGCTTACAGGTAGAGACAGAACTACTAAATACCTATTCACATAAAAACAAACGGTACCATGTTTCATACCTAAATTAAAACTCTATCAAACTTAGTGTAAAAGCGTGTTATTTTAAATGACTGGTAAGTAAACAGCACAGCATGCAAAAATCTGTGTCACTGCTACAGTAAACAAAACAAGCCTTAATAAGAGAAAACACTGGAGAAGAGGGCTACACTTTTAAAAGTGAGATCCAGATTACGATCGCTGCACTATTTGTAATGTGAGATGCAATGCAAATGGCGGAATACTAATCTGAGGAAGGATCTGGTTAAGCGCATGATGCATACCATTTCCACAGTTTCAGATCTATGGCTACAACTCCTACCCTGGCAGTAGCCAGTTTGATATGTGTAGAACTTAGTTGAGTTATACGTTATCAATCTGGTATGGCTGCTGTTCAGTCTGTCTGTGAAAAGGAGGGACGTTTAGTACAATACGTCGAGCTGATTGGGTGAGAGGTGGGTCCTCCAGCGTAGCCATGTTTGTAATGCCCTGGCAAGGCCCTTTTGACTGTCGTTATTCCTACATGTCCCACCCCAAAAAACACTGCTGGCTTGTTACTGGTCTGACTCGCTGGTTGTTACGAGACGGCCGTATTAACGGGAATCTTTCAAGATGCATTTGTTTTGCAACTGAAATCTCAGATCTCAACAATCCAGCTTGCACCGCAAGGATAACAATTCTTGCACTCAGCATAGTTAGCGCCCTTCAGCGACTTAATCAGCGACTTGAAATCTGCAACCAGCAACAAGGATGGAGGAAACATCATCACCTGCTTAAGGTAAATAAGGTATATAATATAGGTACTGTGAGCTGACGAGTGCTACGATGGCGTGCTTCAGAACCGAATCACTTGAATATGAAAACGGGACCCATTCTTATAGCAGACCCAGCAATCCAGATAAAGCCCCTGTTATTCTTTGACGATTTAGCCAGCTTATGCCTGACGTATGAAAAATGTGGACATTGGATAAGTTATGGGTCAGTTTTGTATAAGTATGAGCACTCTGAAACATGCTGGCACACGTCGACATATGCCAGCGCATGTTCATACGTGGGGCATAAGTTACAGGTAAGTTATCTGATCGTTGACATACGTTAAGTATAAGTGACTCTTGAGTCGTGGTGTCTAGCTTATTCACAACCTATTAGTAACTTATGCATAACTTATCTCCAACGCATATCAATGCATTTGACGTGTTTCAGGTGACTGCTGAACGTGTTTCTAACTTACAGCTACTGTATAAAGGCGTATTGGCAGGGTTTTGGTATTAAAGAGGGTTCACAGGAGGAAACAGTCTGTACTCCTCCAGAGTTCATCCCCATCATAGGGTGAGCAAGCAGGTGAATGTGATGGATCCTCCCTGAGTTCACACCCACGACCAACAAACTTCCTAGCAGACATGATGCTGAATCTGCTGCCACTGCAAACCCGCTTTCTGTCTTTTTACTGTCTGTTTTTTTTTTTTTTTTTGGCAGACAGTAAACAGCAGCTAGGTTAATTCAGCGATCAAAGACATATTTTTATGTAGGCTGGGCACCTCTGGGTGCATCGCTGCTCCCCTAAAGACACTGGCTTGTGACATTTCATGGGCATTACGCTGCCATGCGTTATGCATAAGTTAGGTTGTCGTTGGACACAAAGTCTGAAATTGTTATGAATACGCTATGTATACATCCAAAATTGAACACGTACATAGAACGTTCAGCATATGCCAGCGTTTAGAAGATTCTGGGATGTCAGGCATGCACTGGCTAAATCGGCAAGGTACGACAGGGGCTTCACCTAAAGGCTGCTATAGGAGCAGCTTGAGCTTCCATTCCATTTTATAGATCCACTAACTGATCTCTTCCATGCCATGCAGCTTTGATATAATAACTCAACAAAATGAGCCTCAACCTTTTGCATATCCTTCACTAAAAGCTTGGAAAGCAAAGAAAAAGAATGAAAAGAAACAAACACTTCTCTGAAGCTTGGAATATCAGTAATGCATTTTTTTTAAATAATCTTTTTGTTATATTCTTATTTTCTCAGACACTGAATTTAGGTGTTCAAAATATGTGAACCATAATCATCAAAATGAAAAAAAAAATAATGCTTGAACGATTACACTAAACAAATTAATGCTAAATGATCTGTACAAGTTTCACAGTTACAAAAAATATAGAAATTTTTCATGTTATTTATCCCATATTTTAGAGATGTGCCTGTGGTCCAAAGTGGAAAAAATAAATACCATTAAACTCCTGAAGACATTCTTTTGTTTTACTAAATGCGTCTCCTCTAAATGTGAGTTGCTCAAACACAAAAGCTCTGGATGGTTGTGCAAAAAAAACATCATCAACTGGATTTAAAAACAGAGGAAACTCTAAATGCTAACTGGAGTCAAAGAAGAGACTAGGATAAGCTCAATTACCTTCCATCTATTTCCACACTGTTGGCAGAAGACAAACGTGGTCATCGGCTCATCAGCACTTCGAGTTTGAACCTAAAAATCATAAGAAAAGTCAATGCATCATCCCCCTCAGTAAAACTTTTATAATAGAGAAATAAATCAATGAACACAAGTAAATACACTTTAATATTATTGTTCTGTTTATCCCATTTGCATGCTAACATGAACTATGCTGTTTGCTGCTGGCAATTTAACTGAGAATAAAAAAATATATTTGAACACCATTTCAGGAATAGATTCATAAAGCACTCTACCTGTGTGTAGGTGCAGTTCTTCCCCTTGCATTTGCCACAGGTGAACAAATCAGTCTGAGTACCGCCGGTAGTGGCCATCTGGTGGTCCCTGACCGCTTCTTTGGTCAAATTCTTCCTCATTTCTTTCAGCTCATCACTGGCCATTTCCTACAAAAAGAGGGGCAAAGCCTTAAGTCAAATATATGCTTTGATTGGTTGTTCTAAAGTGAAATTGGATATATGACTATAGGAAGAAAGATGGCAGATTCTCATGTGAAAAGCAAACAGAATGGCAAATGTGCACTGAGCACCATCAACAGACAACATACCTCAGCGGTCATCTTGGCTATTCGCTCCGGGGTTACGCTCCCACAAAGAACGGTCCTCCTTAAATTGGGGTTCTTCATATCCTTTAGATTCGAGATTCGGCTCCGCACACGGTTCTTGTATTTCATGTCTGTGTTCTTAAACTCTTGGAAGATACGTAGAAGCAGGTCAAGGAACTCAATTTTCAAGACGTTTTGGTTTTTTTTTTTTTTTTTTCCTTTACATAAGAAGAAAAGGCATAATACAAAGCAAATATAAGAAAACAGCATAAACAGTGATCAACTTAAATATGTTCTTTGAACAAATAAAAAAATGAGGATTGCCATTATTAAAAATATTATATGAATCTAATTAAAATAAAGAGATCAAAATTAAATTATGATATCTAGAGCCTGTGTGGTCCTAATAAAGTTCTTGTAAAAAGGATATATTCCTCAATCTGTGCCCCAAGCTCTTCACAGTCAGCACCAATGGCAATATGGTCCTCTAAAAAAAATCAAATATAGAAGTCATATGAGAAAGAAGAAAGTAAAAATTCAAACAGCAATCAACAACAACAATTATCAAACTAAATGAATGATCAAATGTTTCAATGAGTGCAGACATACCTCCAGTCTGCAGAGCATTGGCCAGCATCTCTCTGCACTTGAGCCGGATGGAGTCGGAGGTGATTGGGGCACGAGGAAATGTGGTGGCTAACGTGTTTGAGGCGACTTCAGATGTTTCACTTTTGCTGCTGGAATTACTACTTGAACTGCTGCAGAAGGTTGGAAAATACTTGAAATCAATAAGTGCAACAAAGCAGGACAAAATCAAAAACATAATACAAACACATTTTAGTTACCTTTCTTCCTTTGCCTCTGGGCTTCCCTGTGAAGGAGAGACGGGTGTTGTTTGGTCTTTTCGTTTCTCATCTGGAGCTTTGTCTCCACCTCCAGGCTCATCTGCAGAGTAAATTATCCACATCAAGAAACCATAGATATCAAGTAAACTTTATTAAAATATGTTGAATTGATATAATTTAATGTGAAGGTGACAAATTTAGTGTATGGAACCCAGAGGTGCCATTAACTAATAAAAAAGACAAAGATAACTATGCCTTTCTACATTAAAGTGATTGGTCTGAAGTGGACTCAGATCTTAGAGTTTCACTATCTGATACTGTAAATGTGAACTAAGTAACTTTTTTTTTTTAACCATTTTTGTTGACAAAACAGGTTTAAAAATATTACCCAGAAGCTTCTTCCAAGACTTAATCAGGGACTTGGCGAGAGATGTCACCTCTTCATCTGTGCTTTGTTTGCGAATAGCATTAACGGACATTCCAATTCTGGTGGACTGTTGACAAAAGGAGTATCAGTACTTGTGTCCATCCTAAATCCATAGGCCCTCATGAAGAAAAATTAACATACCTGGAGCAACTCCAGAGTCATGGGTACACTGCGCAACTCTTTCAAAAGATCCAAAGCACCGGCCTGCAGTTAAGGAGACAAGAGCCTGTTAAGGAAAGCTTTATTACAACTCTGTACCTCTAACTAATCTTTGCAATAAATTATATCATAGCTGTAACCAAACTGTGGATTGAGAAAATCCAGTTAGTTCTAATGTATGGGTCTATTTCATAGAGGTCTAAACTCATGTTGGAACAAGACTATATTGCTGTCGCTCTATTGTAACTACTATTTCAACAAAGTGTTAAGTTTTCGTGCAGTTTTGCATAAATAGCTTGGATATTTAGAGGGAGGCCCATCTTAAAAACACTTTCAATTAAAAATTAGCCTTTCCAAGCTATAATTTAAGAAAGGTTACAGAGATTTTTTTTGTATAAATGTATAGATGTTTGTCTCAATAGCACAATTGGTACCGAAAATAGAAAGGACATACCGCCATAGGGCCCGGCAATAAATTAGTATCAATATGTATCATTATTAAAAACCTATCAATAGAAAATACTCAACAAAAATAAATGAAATATTTGATATTTATAATGAACTCTGATTAAAAACCACAAGGCATTTTGGCATTAATGGCAGAGTAACATTTAGGGCTGACCTCTTTTTGAAGGTTATGTTAAGATCAGTTTTGGGTTACAATTTAAATATGGGGATGTTTCTCCTAGATCTTATTTTAATTATATAAATAAAACAAAAGTAATTATCAATTTAAATGAAGGTCTCATAATATAACAAAGCCATATCTCACATCCCTAATTTTCCATAAGTAATTCCTTCTGTAATTCTTGTAAAAATGACTTAAAGTGTTATAAAAAAAGAGAATGTTTCAATGTAGCTAAAATATTTTAAAAGTGTTACTGAAGCAATGCCAGTGTTATACAGTTTTCTGTGAGCTTTAAACAGAAATAAATGTTTTAATTAAATAAAAAAAAATAAAAAATCAAATGTAATGTTATTAGAACAACAAAAATACAAATGATCAAATAATGAAATCCCACTTCAATTTTGATAGAAAATAGTTTACTGGAAAAAATTAAAAACACTTCGTGTGCATACAAACAAAGTTGAAAAAAGAAAATAAACCAACATAAAATATCCTTTTTATTTCCAATAAGTGGTATTTAAAAGCCTGAAGGTACATCAAATTAAAAGATTTATTGCAAAACAATGTGGGTAGCTTCAGTCTGTGTCATGAAAAATCAGCTTTCTCTATTTGCACACTATTTGGTATAAACAACAACTATTGGTATAAAACATTTAAAAGAATCATATTGTAAATATTTCCTTCTGACCTTAAAAAAGTAAACTTGACTTAATAACTGTAGTTACATGTCTCTGGTGTGGTGATACAATCTAAACATTTAACACAAATGTAAATTACACAAAAATACTCATTCTAACCTTTTAAATTATGATTAAATCAGGCTTTGAAATGATCAGTGTGCTGAATATTTTACGGATTAGAACCAATTGTTTGCTGCAGCTACAGTGAAGCAGCATCATAACATACAGTAGTAATACTGCACGGCTATAGTTGCTTGGCGGCTACAGACTGAGTAACCAAGGAGAACTAAGGACGCTATTTAGCAGCGAATGAGAAGAAAATAATGTAGTTATGAATTATATCTCTAATTATATTGTACTTTCAAATTCACAATTAGTTTAAATACCTACTGCACACATATACATGCATTCTGTTGATAACCGCAGCGGTTCAGCAGCGGCTAACTGCTAACTTTTAGCAACACAAATAAACACACTGCCAGCAAACAACTTATCATGAGCTAAAGTGTTAGTTTCCAAACTTCATTGATATCATTTGTGAGTATTTTACCAAGTGTAAAAATGTGCACATTTACGGCACAAACATAAAACCAAATTATATTAGCATCTAGAATGTTCTTATAAAGTGAACTTGCTAGAAGCTAAATTAGCCGTTGCTATCGTATCCCATTAGAGCCTTTGCTAGCACGGTCGGCTAATAGCATTCATCTCTCACAACATCTCACCCCGTTTTTTTTCTGCGCCATTTTATCCATCTTTTTCGCGATTCTGATAATCTCCTCTTCCTCCTTCTTCCCCATCTTGATTAATTAAAGAGAACAGGACAAAAAAACGAACACGCGAAAAGAAAATACGGGACAAAAAAGACCACGCCAGGAGAAAGAGGCAACGGCGGAGGCGGCAGCGTCAACTTGGCGGACCGGGACCACAGAGCTACTGCCCCCACTGTGTAGCAGACCTGAGTAAACGATGCCTGGAATTAACGTACATAAGGGGAGTTAATCGAGACAGAAGCATCGATGATGTAGCTGGATCCTATTGTAATCATACGACTGTAATCACTCTGAAATTAAATAAGAAAGTGTCTTCTATGTGATTTTTATATATACATAGATTTTTGCAATAACCGAAAAAATAGTTTCTTGTACAACAGAATTTTTTTTTTTTTTTTTACAAATATACTGACCGCCTTCAGGTGGCACCCATGCACAATGTTTTGTTTTTTCATTTTTTCATTTTGTTTATTTATGTTTATCAAGTTTTCAAAGTGCAACATACAAAAATCACTCACCCGAGTAAAAAGGATACATATATTTAAAAAAAATACGGTCTAAGAAAAAAAAAATACTCTTACCATTACAACAATAGTAATAATATAAAAATAAATAAAAACATTCAATAACTGAGGAAAAGAGAAGAGAGAAAGATAGGAATAAAATAAAAAATGGAAACAAGCCAGACAAGTTATCTAACTAACGGTTACACTGCACTGATTACCATTTACACTTTAGGATAGAGAAATATGGTCCAGAACTGGCTGCCAGATAATACAGATCTTATTAGTGGAGCCCTTAACATCATACTGTAGTTTTTCCAAATGAAGAATCTCAGTAAAATCGCTTATCCACATTTTAAACCAAGAAAACTTGTCAGTTTTACACAATCTTAATAATTCTTTCTTAGCTATTACCATTCTATAAAATGCGGTAGTTTGCGTAGAAATGCTGCAGTTCCTAAGTGAGGGAGAGTATCCAAACAATGCAATCTGGGGGTCCAGAATCAAGGTGCACTTATACACTTCAGAAAACCATTTGAAAGAGCTTAGGGCATGATCAGAACAGATGAGTTACAGAGCCATCGGTGGATTTACATCTATCAAATTTTGGAGATATTGAGGGGAATATTCTGTGCAATTTTGTTTTTGAATAGTGGAGTCTGTGAAACACCTTGAGCTGAATTAACTACTGCTTTACATTAATAGAGCATTACCAAATCCTCTGAAGACCTTCCTCCCAGAGCTCACTCCCAATCTGTAAGCCCAGCTCCTCCTCACATGCAGCCCTTAGAGAGTCTGTGGCAAAATTGATTCCCTCTACAAAGATGCCAACAAAGCTTGAAATTATTTATTATTTTTATTGTGGGGAACCCAACAGCATTCTGCCTAACTTATTTTCTGCCAGAGGAGATACAAAGTTCGGGATGTTAATTTGAACATAATTTCTAATTTGCAGATGTCTGAAAAAATCTGTGTCCGGAAGAGAGAGATGTGAGATGTTTGTTTTAAACAATGTTAATTTCAATAGAAAATCCATCTCGTTTTATATAAGGTTAACTCGTTTATGGATTATTATTTTATTTATTATTTATTTTAAAATTCGGCTCAAGCAAACTTCAGAAGGCCTAATTAACAACAGTTTGGAGGGAAAACATGAGTTTTTGTATGCTGTGGTACCTAATAATTAAATCATCACCTGGGCAGTAGCCTATATGAGAGATGAAAGTAATAGATATGGGGATGTTGAAGTGGAGATTCATGAAAGGAGTGAAAGAGGAAATGAAGGTAGATGGTGTGAGAGAACAGGATTCAGAGGATAGAATAAGATGGAGTCAAATGACTCCTGAAAATAAAAAGCCAAAAGAAGAAGAAGGAGGTTATCAGAGATAGACCAAGATTGAGAGACACTTTTATGGGGAATCTGATTTGGGGCTCCGCTTGCAATTGAGCACATCTCCCACCTGCCACCACAGTACCAATAATTTCTTAGATTACACCATCTTGAATGTTTTTACTTTGTCTTTTTACAGTAATTAAGGGTTGTGCATTTATGGTCCCCCGCTTTCCATATGTTAATTTCCGCCAAATTGATACTTTGAAATAAAAATATTGCTGTATAATGTAGTTTGTGTCATTAAATCTGATACAAAGAATCAAACGAAGGAATCAACAGTGTATTGCTACAGAATAGAATGTGATTTAAAATTTACTAGCTCAACTGGATATCCAATATAGGTGCAAGTATCCAAGTTTGACTTAGTCCTCATAGGGACTTTAGTCAAGAACTGACATCTTACCCAGTCCAGACTTTTTTTATTAGAACCTGCTAAAACCTTGATTTGCATGTATGTGGCTATAAGGCATTTAGATGGGAACTTACGGGTGCCTTTTGGATAACTATCTTGCATAACCCAAGTAATTCTGCTGAGCCGACATCCTCCTTTAGGTTTGAATGCAAGTCAGCAGAAAATTCCTGGTTCCTTAATTTACAGATACTAAAGCAGTAAGACAGCCTACAACTATTACAAAAAAACCCCCCCAAAAAAAACACCACTCTTGGCTCTGGGCTTTGGTTCTTTATGAAATATGCAATCGGATAGAAACCTTTTAAAAAGTCCTGCTTCATTTTGTCCACAAACAATTATTGCTTCATTCTTGACAATAAAAATTCTCCTGAGAATCATAAGAAATGTGTTGGCTTTCTTTTTCAACAGTAGTGGTTTTGGACTTTGGGCTCCCATGGATGCCATTTTAAAATCCTCTCTCTTATTTGTGAGTCATGATCAAGATCTGAGAAGTTATTTTCTGTATTTCATCACGTTGTTCTTTCCATTACAAGTATTTGTTTAAAAACAAAAGAAACATGTAAGGAGGCAACTACATTTTTTAGATCAATCTATATGTTTTGTGTTACAGTTCTACTTTTATGCTTCTTGATAGCAAAATAATTATTTAATATAACCAACTTATATCAGTGATGCTTTGGTCATAATTTACGAATATTCTGATCTACATTGTGACTTGTATTTACTGTTTGTTTGCAATCTACTCCTACACTCTAAACCTTCCAGGATGCTGCACATGTTGGTTGGGATTAAGGGCAGCCTATACACAGCTTGGACAGGTGGGAATTGGCACCATGCCTGTAACCTGAAAAGCAGTGACACAACTTTCTGCTGCAGATTTGAATTAGATCATTTGTCCATTTAATTTAAAGGCAAATCCTGCTCTATTACAATATATATACAGTATATATATATATATATATTTTAATGGCGATGGGCCAATGCCAAATCATTTTTCAGTTTTTATACTTCACTGTTAACATGGTGTCATGTTTACAAGTCCTAATTCAGATGTATTGTTTGTCCTGAGGTCTAACTAGAGTTTCCAGTACCTGCTGCCATCTAAAAGTACTGCTTAAAGACTTTATTCTGCCTCCTGCTGTCAGCAGGTGCGCAGAATCTTCAAACTAATCCCTATTAGGCCAAGACCTCACAAATCTGATTATGGGACGCCCCCTTCAAATTCAGAATGGTTTGAACCACCTGTGAAATCTGTGGAGAACGATATCACCATCATTGTACCCAGAATATGTATTTAATCCCATGAACTATCACAGTTGTTCTCAGCTCCTTACTATGGATATTATTGAGGTTTACTAACATGTGTGCACTCCTTTTTTGTTTTCATGTTGGCTTTGAGCACAAATAATCAAATAGAAATGAACTGTTTGTAGTTACAAAAATATATTGTAATATAAAATGTCAAATCAATTTCCTATCCATCTATACAAATGTATTTAGACAAGAAAAATTATATTGTACCAATTGGGAAAGGAAAGGGTTAATAGTTCTTTTAAATTTTATTTGAGTTAAGGTTTTATATTGTTTTTTTTATTTCAAGTGTATTTATTTTTTCACCATCCTTAGGTGCTGATCAAGTGTTAGCAAAGATTAAGCAAATTGGCCATGATGTTGCATGTCCCAAAATAGCCCTCCAACTCAGCTGAGAGGCTTTGATCAGCCGTAAGAGAAGCAAAGGAGGCACACTTTGAGTTGGTTTTGCTTTGCTAAAACAAGAATAAATGCCCATTTTTGGTAAGTTTTTATTATTTCATCAGCTGATATAATAGTTTTAACATTAGATGTTAACTTATGCTTTTAATCTAATGTAATCTGTATTGTAAAATTTTTGTAATCTTCCTTTACGTTTGAGCCATGGAAGGCCGCTGTCCATATCTAGATTGTTGCTGTTGACAGTATTTTGAGGAGAGCTATTGGTGTGAAATAGAAAGGGTATTCAGTTAGATTGCTTTTTCTTAAAATGTTAATAGATATTTTTCCTATAAACTTAGAAAAAGACTATGATTATGCGGAAATATGAAAAGTAACATATTTTCTTATGTAAAGGCACAAATGCATTACTTATGTTCGCTGTATGGAGGTTTGGTATTATTTATTTTCAGTCAAGAACTTCAGTTTAACTTTCAGCTAACTTGCTCAGCATTATCAGTTAAACCTTATGCAGCCACACCAATCATAAAGAAAAGCCTAATATCCAGGAGCAGATTTGAGCCGTTATGGTTATTTTCAGTACCCTGGAGAAAACTCAGAGGAGCAACCCAGTAGGTTTTCATACTTTTCGGTACAACACAAGAATTATATGAGAAAACAGCTAAAATTGAATACCAGACATAAACAATGAACATAGAAAACAAAAGTAGCTCAGTATGACCTACAGGAATTTGACTTTTGGTTCTGTGTTCAGTCTAATTCTGTAGCCATGCTCTGTTTAGTCAGTTTCCAGGATCTCAGTGTTTCTTTGTATACTCATTCGTATTTTCAGTATATTTTGCATTGTATTATTCAGTCTCCAAAGCATATTCTCTATATATTTGAACATGTTCAGATCCTTCTTTTGCGGCTATTATTTTCTGGACATTGCAATTTCCCCTTGTGTCTTCTGTTGTATTTTTATAAGGATTTTTACATTTAATAAACATCCAGTAATTCTGTTTGACCCCCCCCCCCCAACACACACACCAATTTGGGTGCATGTTAACAACAAATCAAGACTTAAAGTGTAATAACTCTCAGTCAATAAGACTTTTGAGAGTTAACACACAACAGAGATATCCATATTGAAAGAATAAACAGAAGACAAATTTGAAAGATTTATAAAAGCATTCGAAAATTCTTGACAAAAAATGTTTAACCAGTTATAAAAGTTTATTTATTTTTATTAAATAAAATAATAAATTTTTATATATTTGAGAAAAGAAAAAACATTGGGTTGTATGCATTTCAGATAGTGGTTGGAAAAGACACGTACCCTAAAAACTAAAACTCTGCCTCAAGTTCTCGATTTTTTTTGGAAATAATCAAAAATCTTGCTTGCAGGATAACAAAGAACTTACATTGGATAGTAGGGAATGATCAGATTGAACAACTACTAACTATAATTTAGATGTGATTTGTAGACTTTAGAAATTATATCATTGCTTACACATGGACACGTTGCAAAGACAGAGCACTTCAATCACTAAAGTATATTAAAATGATTATTAAAAAAAAAGTATTAATGAATATGTAACAGTAACAAAAGATGTCAAAAAATTATGTGTTTGATATTCTTAGTTAACAGAGGCCCAAGCTTTAAATAATTTGTTTCATAAAAATCAAGCAAACAAAAAAATATCCCCAGCATACGGTGGCCCTGAAGTGAAAACCACATAAGCAAATCTTGAAACACAACTACAACTTAAATGTTGTGAAAAAAGTTTAACAACATTTTCAAAAACTAAAACTGAAATAATATTTTCCGAATCACAATGAAATTAGCTTACAGGAAAAAAAAAAAAAAAAGAAACGGATACCTTGCTGATTGGTTGGTGGCATTGTTTGGTTTTTAAACACCAGAAGTCATTCTGCTTTTTTTGTCAGAATGACCTCCTGTTAAAAAGCCAAACAGGGCCGTCGTCCAATCAGGAAGGTCTCATGTTTCTTGTTAATGCCTTTGTGTCTTTGGATACGTTGTTGTGCTTTTTAAAATGTTGTGTTTTTGAAAATATGTAGTTTTTTAATTTGTAGGTGTGTTTAAAGATTTGTTGATGTGATTTCCTTCAGGGACACCATGCTGAAAATGTATTTTCAGTCAAACAATTTAATATATAGATATATTTTTAAAGTTAGTACTTTCAAACATTACAAAAACTAAAAAGTGTTGACCTATCTCTAGTAAAAAAAAAAAATAGATTTCATAAAAGATGGAATTTAATTGATACTCTTTTTAGAGCTTAAAAATAAAAAAAATCCTCAATGTTTTTCTTCTTTCTAGCCACCTCCTTACAATATGAGCAACACACCCGTCCAGGACCCTCCAGCCCACAAGATGTCTTCTAGTAGTGGTCAGATCTTACCCTCTAGGCCTGCACAACCCAACTCTGAACCTCCAGCCTCTAAACGTGTGTGTTTCTACAAAAGCGGTGACTATCAATTCATTGGGCATCGTATGATAGTCACTGCCCGCACCTTCAAGACATTTGATGCCCTGCTGGATGCTCTGTCCAAAAAAGTGCCTCTGCCGTTTGGTGTACGAACCATAACCACACCTCGGGGAACTCACTTCGTCAAAGCTTTGGAAGACTTACAGGACGGAGGAGCTTATGTGTGCTCAGATCAGAAACGTGTGAAGCCACTAAATCTGGATGAGGTGAACCGTAGGCAGCTTCCTTGGAATGCCACAAGGCCGCTCAATGCAGGAGGGCGAAAGAGACCGAAGCTCCGCTTTCGTCAGTTTGATAATACAAGCAAGAGGCCACTGAAGGTCACAGAGAGAGCATCTGTACGGACACCCAGGAAGCTCCTAGTTATCAAAAACAGGGATCCGACAGTTAGACAATCTGTTGTCTTACAAAGAAAAACAGCACCAACGTTTGATGCTTTACTGGATTACCTCTCTCAGATCCTCCAGTTTCCAGTGCTGAAACTCTACACCACAGATGGTAGACGGGTGAGTGGTTCATAAACATTAAAATACAATCACTAGAAATAAGACACAAGAAAAGTGCTACTTTGATAGAATCTGAATAAATATGATGAGCTCCTTTGCCAAAAATCTGGACCAGGGTTAGATGCACGGGTAGAAAAATTTGTATTATTTCTCCTCTATCAGTTGCATGGCTTTGTACCAGGACCTTAAAGATACAAGATGTGACTTAAAGTTTTACAGATAAGTTGTAGTTTGTGAGTGCAACTTTAGCTGTTTGGTAGACTGGCACAATAACTCTTTCAGGTAATCAAACACATGCTGATTCTGAACAGGAAAAAAATATAGGAAAATATACAGTTGGATAATTATACACACTGAATATATGTGAAAAATTAGAGCGGATGAAACAGAATCAGGACAATTTCCAACAATGCAAATTTAAATGTTGTTTTAATCACCATTTGAAGCTAATCATAAACTTTTTTTATGATTGGCCTAAACTTATCTTTGAATGATGATTAAGTAGAATAAGCAAATAATGACGGCCAAATAATTGATTGAAATTTATATATTTATATAAATTTATATATGTATATACCTTTATATATCTGTGATTATCCTGCACAGAACTTTGTTTTGCTGTGGTTGCCTTGTAAGTGCTTAACAATTAAGAATTGATTGGATGGGATCCTACTGTATGGTGTAGCTGTAGTAAAAGTGGCAAAGCCTCAAATACAAACATAACTTATACTAATGATAACCTACAAGTTCTGTCAACCCTTTGCATGTATATTTTCCTTCAATCAAAACAAAAAAGTATTTTATGACCTATAAAGGACAATATTGTTTAGAGCAGAATTTTATTGGTTATAAGACAAAATTTGATCTCATCTTTTGAAAACATGTTAAAAAACACAAAAAGATCAAATGGCATAAAATACCACAAAGTTGAATAATGAAAGAAAAAGTAGTGGATAACATTTTTCATTGTTCTATTGTGAAAAAGCTTTATTAGTTGAAAATATATTAGATGTTTGAATAAAAGCAAAAAACAAACAAGAAATAATTTGAACAAGTAATTGGTTCTCTGAACACATCTCTTAGATGTGTTGTTTAATCTGGGGAAGATTTAAAAGTCAGTGATTGCAAAACTACCAGATATCAGATTCAGTGCAGGCTCAAGAAAATGCAGTTTAAAGCCAGGTGAAAGAGATTTTCACTTTTAAAGAAGAAAAACAATACACAAAACAATTTTATTCTTATATTGGGTATGACATTATACTGGTCAGTTGTTAGACACAGCTATTTTAGGTCTTTAATGATTTGTCTTTACAATGTTAACTTTCCAAGAGTTTAATATCTCTGTCAAAGCGCAGTTAGCACCATGCAAAGGAATGATCTGCAACCTCCTTAGGCATTCCTAATCTGTTGCAATTCTTAGTTCTCAGAATAACAGGAGGAGACTCGGAACTAAATCAGGCAGAGATTTGTTTGAGATGTGTAGCTTCTCGTAGTGTTCACCACTAGACTATTTTCAGTTCAGTTATTCATTTTCAAAGAGACCATCTCATCCCATGAGTTTCTGATCACTGCATTGCACCTGGTCTGAAAAGCTCAAGGAACTTTTCAGAAACACATTGGGAACATTGACCATATGATCATTTTAAGAGAAAATAAACTGTAAAAGATTGGGTGTTAAAAATTCAAAGTCAATATGTTTTGTGCTAAATGGAGTATTTACAACTATCCTGAGCGTACATCTGCTCTACTGTTGGAGTTAATAGTTGGTGAAACTGCCATGCAGTGTAACTTTTACTCAGTATGGTGTCGATTAACTGCCAGTCTTTGAGATATGCTCTGATTTTGACCCCAACATTAGTGAAATTAATCCTGAAAAGTTGACACTTGCTATAGAGTAAGTTTTACATTCATTTAGAGTTGGACGTGGAAATGTTATCTGAAACAGAGTTATATTCAACTCTGTAGGTGTTAAAGTAACCCTTGGTTTTTTACTGGTGTACAGAGAATGCATCACACGTTTGTTTTAATTTGTCGAATGTTTCCAAAAAGATTTTTAAAAATCCTGTTAACGTCCTCCACCCAAGTAAGTAAATGTTTTAATCCAGAATGTCCTTCAGCAACAACAAGCCTCCTAGAGTAACACGCACAGATTTCAACACGTGCTCTGGTAAAGGCTTGACAGTGTGAATACATTTTAAGTAGTCTTGCCTTGAATACAGTAGTTTTCAGAGCTCAGGCATATGAGTATAAATAATATGCAAAAAGTAAAATATTATTTTCAAAGAAACAAATGTTTTGTGTCTTATTCGCCGAATTGTTGCACTATTTCAATATTTCTTTTTAAATCCAAAAAAAGCTATTGATGATCTCTATCTTGTGTTTAACTTTCCTCCAATTTATCTGTCCAGGTTGATGGCCTTGCTGCACTTATCCTCTGCTCTGGAATAATTGTGGCAGCTGGCAATGAGCCTTTCAGATTAGGAAACCAGCGTTTTAACAGAGCAGGGCACACACCCCAGATCATGTATGTGAACCACGAGGAACCATTGCCAATGCAACCTAAAATGCGTAAGTGTTGATTATTGTTATGTTGAAAAAAATAGAAACATACTGAAAAATGAAGAAAAAAAATCTGAAAGAGGGCATAATACATTTTCTGTTCCTTTATAAATAACAGAAGCTAAATTAAGGAATATCATTTAAGTTTAAAATTAGTTAACTCCATTTGATAAAGTAAATTGGGACTAGCATTTCACAAATTTTAATGAAAGAAAATTTTGGCCAATATTCAGATCTTTGGCCAGGGTTTAAGCTACTTATTGTACAAATAACCGCAGGGCCAAAGATTCTGGTGTCACATTAAAGGCTTTCCTTTTCCTTATATTTGTGTATTAAGCCATTTTAGCTCTGCATAAAAAAAAAATCTTGATACTTTTTAAATTTTACCTCATTACTAATCCAACTCTATTTTGTGCAAAGTGATAGCTTTAAAATTGTGTTAAGAATCATGGAAGTATTTAGAACCTACCTTCTTTAGCTTTGGAACAAACTTCCCCAAAGCCTAGGTGGTGTAGAAACTATTGGCTCCTTAAAATTAGAACACATATTTTTAATTATTAGTATTTTAGCTTAAGCAAAACATAAAGTTATCTCAGAATTGAACTTTTTAAAAATAGTTCTGTTTTAAATTAAAGATTTTATTTATTCTTATAATAAGAAAAAATATATGTATATATTTTCTAAACAAAAGATTTTCAATACATCTTCCCTTTTACTTCAATTGCTTTCATTTTCTTCTAAGGATTTTGGATTACTTTATGAAATGTGATGTATAAATTATTTTGCCTGGCTTGAAATTAATGCAATATAATATTTATTTGAAAATGTCTTTTCTCTGTCTTGCTCACATGTACTCATTTTTTTTTGTCAAACAATTTCCCATGCAGAGAAGCGTAAGAAGTCCTTATCCAGTGGAAGAGGCTCCAGAAATTTCTCCATCTCATCAGAGCGATTCATCGTTAACCAGATAAACAGCTCTCAGAATGAAAGCTTGAATGGCTACCTGCACCGTCCCAGCGGGCCATCTGAAACAGAAGCTCATCAGCATCACGCAGCCATGGAGACATGTGGACCTGAGGGGGGAAATATTGAGCACAGTAACTACACCGTCCCTCATGATGACGACATTGAGAAGTCTTTCCGCATAAATCAAGACGGCAGCATGACAGTGGAGATGAAAGTTCGTCTGACAATCAAGGAGGAGGAGATGCTTCACTGGACCACCACACTGAGCCGCTCCGGCCTGGCTAAGAATACAGTATGTGCCTCCCTTTCTGGGTCAGACAACAGCTCACCTGACTCAAATGATGCCTTTGCCAAAGACTCCACAGGTATTCAAGAGCATGAAAGAAAAGTAGAAAACTATCATGACAGAGGTACAAAAGGTGTTGCCTTTAATGATGAACGCAGCTACAAAAGCTACAGCTCGACAACTTTGGACAGAGAAATAACACGGTTTAAGCGCACTCCAACACCAGGGCCACAACATGTGAATGAGAGGGCTTCTATAGAGAGTATGAAAATGGTTACAGAGACAGAGGTTAAACAGAACACCCTGGGACATTACTCATATATGGAGAGAACTGCTGACGGCGAGACTACCGAAGGATATTGTGTTGTTAGACACAGCAGCAGCAACAAACCAGTCCCTAGAGCTCGTAGGACGCCATTGTCAGGAGTGAGCAAAAGAAGCTCCTCTGCCGGATCATCGGGGGTCGCTGAGGTCCTTCACATAAAAAATGATGGAATGGAGGTTACAGAGACCGTGATGCATATTTACGAGAGTCAGGGCTGCTATGACAACTATGTTGCAAATGAGGAGTTCAGTGCAGATGGCACTTCACCGGTGGCAGAAAGCAAACCATCCACTACCTCAGGGCCTAACTTGTCCAGCAATGACTGTGATATAGATTGTAACTGGCATCCGCCCACCACTGACTCAGTACAGAGGGAGAAAGAGGAGATTCTATCGCTATCATCAGGGCCAGGATCTTTGACACATCAGTCTACAAACAATCTATCTTCAGTAACTAAGAAGGAGGTTGTCTGCTCAAAGATGTTGGAAGCAGTTAACAAGGATAATTCTGTTAAAAGTACCCAGAAGAAAAGAATTGCTAAGCCTCTTTGGAATGAGAAAGGTTCAGCTTCAACAAACAGCTCAGATAGAAAACATCAAGAAAGTACAAAAGGATCATCAAAGCAGAGTAAATATTCATCTACTGACAAGCTGAGCAGCAACACCAGTGTAGGGAAAAAAAGCTTAAATTCATTGGAGGGATCTAAAAGTTTGCTAAACAATAAATCAGTCAAAACGTCTGAATCTAAGAAATCAATAAAAACAGAAAAAATGTCCAAAAATGCTTCAATCTCATCGCTCAACCCTGGAAATACAAAAATTAACCCGCAGAAGAAAAAAAGCCAGAGCAAAATAGCAGCAAAAGATAATGGCCACAATATTAACACTCCAACGGGAAGGCCTCAGATGAAGAAGAACATGTCAGACATCTTACAAACCACAAAAACACTTTCCCCCAGTAAAAAGACAGTCAGCCGGCCAAAGTCCATGACCGAATTTGCACCATCACCAGCCAAATCATCTTTAGAACAGAGCGAGAATGCCTCATTACCTTCTTTAAACCCCTCTCCTTCGGAAATACACCAATATGTTGAAAACTGGTTGGAAAAAGTCAGCCAGGACCCTGTGCTGTACACAGAGGATATGTTAACAGATGAAGCAGAAACTCGTGAAAAGGTAGTATTTAAGATAGGTGGCGATTCAGAATCAGATGAAATAAATCAATGTCAGACTATATCAAACGATGCAATGAAAAAATCCTCCTCGTGTTTATCAGTTCCTCTTTGCCATGGGGGGCTGGCAACATGTGAACAGATAAGCCGAGGTCTTTGTGTTTCAATGCCAAGTGTCAGGGCAGACCCAGAAAACCACGAAAATAAACTCAGGTTACACAAATCTGTTGACGCCATTGGTCCAAATGAAGGTGAACCATCTTCATCTAACTTGTTGAGTCCTAAGGCAAAGCTAAAACCAGTTCTTCGTCAGGTTTGTTCATCAATTCAGTGCATTAGAAGAGCATCTGCCAGCAGCACTGACCCCACTCTTAAAAATTCAAGCAGTCTTCCAAATTTCTCAACACAAGTTGCCTCAGTGTTTGGCTCATCATGTAAAGCCTTTGTCTCATTCTTGTCAGTAATGACACTGAGAGATAACTTGGAAAGTTCCCAACTTGGGGAAGGGAACCAATCAAGAACCCCTTCAGAGGCCATGTTAATGATGGAGTCCCTGCAGAAGATATCTGCTTTAGAAGATGAAGAAGAGCAAAGGGAAAGTCTTACCAACTTGCAAAGCAGAGCATCTTCCAAACTAAGAGAGAGCTGGAAGGATTTCCAGACTCTCAGGGAGAGGCTGGAGAGTGAACCACTCTCTCCCAGAGTTTCAGAGACTGAGTTTGCACTGGATGTGGTCTCTGAAGGTGGTGATGCATTTGATGATCAACAAATGGTCCTCAATGAACTCATGGAGGAGCTGAACATGCCGCAAGACCTCAGAGAGGAGATCGTCTCCACAATCCAACAAACCAAAAGTTTCTACCCTGCTGAGGAGAGCACTTTTGTCGAGACTGTTAGAAACCAGTCAGAGTCAGAGGAAGATGTAGAACGATTTGTTGAGGAGTGTGAAGAGAAAACTAAAGATTCAGCAGGTTCTAGAAGTACAACAAGCGACTCAACTGAGCAACAAAACCCTGACAGAGTCAACCGGGATGAAATGTCAAAAAATAGTGGAGACTCAAAAAGATATGAAGCACTTACAAATAAGAGGCAAGATGAAGAAAAGATAAGTCATTTTGGAAAGAAAACAGATTTAGATGTGAAGGAAAATGAGTACTTGAAAAGTGAATCGGACACAAAGAAGGAGGTGAAAACAGAGATGTTGGAAGATTCAGAGGAAGGGAAGGCAAGTGTTGGGAAATCTGCCAACAAAATAGAGGAAGATAAAACATGGAATGGAGAGGTTACAGAGCAGAGATCAGAGGAAGAAACAAATTTTGAAAATGAGGAAACAGGAAATGAGGATAGTGTTGAAGATACAGATGAGCGGGAGGGGGAATGTGAGACAGAGGAGGAAGGAAACTGTCAGGATAGGGAGACTGAAGAAACTATGAAAAATGAAGAGGAAATAAATGAAGTGGTGGTAGAGGAAGAGGAGAATGGGGAGGAACAGGAGGGGGAGCAGGGGGAGGATTATGAGGAGTCAGAGGAGGAAGAAAACTGTCAGGATAGGGAGCCTGAAGAAACTATGAAAAGTGAAGAGGAAGTAAATGAAGTGGTGGTGGAGGAAGAGGAGAATGAGGAGGAGCAGGGGGAGGAAGAGGAGGAGGATCATGAGGAGGAAGAGGAGCAGGACCGCGAAGAGGAGGACCAGGAGGAGGAACAGGAGGAGGAAGAGAAGGAGGAGGGGGAGAGCGCAACAGAGAAATTTGAAGGCTCTCTCTCTGAGGAAACAGAGAAGGAAGTGGAAGAGGAAACGGGGGAAAAGGGGGGAAATAGTGAGATATTTGAGCAGGAAAACAATGAATATGACAAGACTTCAGGTGGAGCTATTTTTGAACTTAATAAGTTCAATGCTAAGAGAAGTGAATACATTTCAGATAATGCTGAGGAAAAAGATGAGGACGAGGAAGTCCAGCTAACAGCTAGCGATAGTGAAGGAAGCAGGGAAGAGGAGATGGAAAATAAGGAAGACGAAAAGAGTGAATATGAAGAAGAAAAGGAAAGTGAGAATGAATCAGATGGAAAAAAGAATGATGAGTTTGAAGATGAGGAAAATGGTGTGATGAATACAAAAATTAAATTGCTGGATGAAATAGGTGAACATGAGGATGACAACGAGCAAAACATGCCATCAGTGCAAACTGTAGAAGAAGAAGAAGAAGAAGAGAGGAAAAGTGATGAAGAAAGCAAAGCAAATCAGACATTGGAACCGATGGAAGTTGCACAAAAAGATCAGGTGGAGAAAGGGGCTGTTTCTGAAAATTTAGATAATATCCCCCCCTATCATGACTTTAAAACAATGTCAAATGAAGCTATTTGTCAGCAGCAGCACAGTAATTCCTGTGAAGAAACTGAGGAAAGTCTATCTAAATATTCCTCTGAAGGCCAGTACAATGACAAATGTACAGACACTATTCATGAGACAGATGAAGGTGGAGAAGAGGACAGAAGGAACAGTTTAACCCATCCAGTGGAAATCTCTCAGGAGCTCCTAGACTTTGTTAATGATGCTCTTCAGTCTTATTCACTTATATTCACATATGATACTCAAGGAAATATTAGAATAGCTCCTGATAATGCTAGAGTTGTACAAACTAAGCAACATTTGATACCAAAACCCAGAAAGGATAGTTCTTATGGTCTAAAATGCCTCCCAAGCCCAGTCACATCTGATTTATCTGATTACCGACCAGAGACATCGGGCAGTGGAGGATATAAAACTCAGGAGTCGATAGACATTGTCTCAGAAAGTGGAGAAGAGCCTTTAGATGAAGCAAACGGCACTGAGGGAAAAATCTTAGAACAAAGGCTTTTAAAACTGTCTGCTGCAAATTGCTCATTAAAAAGTGGAAACAGTCCTTCCAGTGATGAAGGCACTAAAGCTTCTGGGGAAGATCTTTCATATTTCAGTGCTGCAAGTTCAATAAAAGCAGAAACTGAAACTGGAACAGAAAATACACAACAAGTACCTCTAACTTTTGATAAAGACTCAGCTGATGGGGTTTTGATTGATCGAGGGAGATGGCTTCTTAAGGAAAACCATCTCATAAGAAAATCCCCCCCGGTCTCGCTGGGAATGTACAGTAATCTGGACAGCACATCTACAGACACAGGCCAGGAAAATGGAAGCATAGACTCCCCTTCATATTCTAAAACCAAGCACAGACCCCTTGCTACAATATCTTCCTCAGAGCTCGAGGAGATGGCCAAGCCTTTGACTCCAAAATGCACCTACTACAACATGCCACATGGAAGCGATTCCGACCCATTCTTAGATGATCTAAGTGTCAGGAGCATGAAACACGATGCAAGCAGCATAAAAGCAAGAGGCTTCAGGGTCTCGCCAACTGTTGACACATCCAAAACTTGGGCTAATAGAAATGGCAGTCTGTCGTCATTTGCTTCAGTTGAGTTTAAAATCCCAGACAGAAAAGTGCATCCGGAGGTTGTGTCCTCTGCAGTAACAGAGCCAAGAAGGACATCCAATGGTGAACAGGGTGCACTGCAAGCTCAGGACTCCTTGGACTCTCTGCATTTAAGATGTGGGCAATACTGCCCTATATTATAAAAAGAGAAACTCTAATTTATAAAAATGAAAACAAAAACACATTATACGTTGAGTTTTATATGTAACTTTGTCTTGTTTTGCTGCTAGAAGATGTTCTCTTCAGTTAGACTGTAATCAACAGGAACCTCAGTGATTCGTTTGGTGAATAACAGCAGTGCCTCTTATTTATCTAGAGATACAGTCAAACATTATGTTAAATATGCAGTAACTTCAGTGCTGTCTTTAAGGTGGTTACTAATGAAGTTAACCTGAAAATAAATATGATTTATTTTTTATGGATTTGATGTTTCTGACTTTCATTGCTAAATAATTAATTGAATACTAAAGAAACCTTTCTGAGTCTGCATGTCTTATAGTTTTTGAAACTGGGCAAAGGACTAAGAGAATCTTTGACAGAGAACATTCTATGTTGAAAACCTACATTCAACTGGTTTTCTTTCTATTTAGGCAACATGTAATTTTTATCTCAACACTTCTTTTATTTGAAATCTGCTGCCTCCCTGCATACAGGGTTTCTAATTAGTGTGCCTACCTGATTTTTTTCCTATTCAGCGATAATCTAACCTTCAAAAATTTCTAAAAACATTATTTTAGTTTGTAAATAGTCTTAATATATTTGTTTTCTGTGCTATAAATAAAAGTGGCTTCCAAATGTCTACACTCTCTGGCTAGAACACCATGCTCTAGGTTTTTTTATATCAAAAATGAGACCATAAAAAATCAGTTTAAATAGTTCCACATGTTCCTTAATATTTTTCTGCTCAAATTAACAGAATAAATGAAGACTGTAAAAAACAAAGAAAAAAGACAATTGAACAAAAAGATCCAATAAATAGGTTGCATAATGTATGGACATCACTTCACTTAATGCTTTCTGTAAGCCCTCTTTGATCAAATGCATTTGGTGTTTATGCTGCTGAAGATTCTCAGTCATCCAGGTAATAGTCATTCCGTAAAAGTTTAAACTTTTAAAGAATGTTTTAGTTTTAGATTTAGCTTAAAGTTTTAACTTTTACAGAATGACATTTGGTGTTTGGTTTTATTTGATGGAAGTACATCCCACAACTTGATTTAACAATATTTGCCAATACCGCAGCAAGCAGAAATGTCTTAAATCTATCAGTTTGTGAGGAAATATCTTGTCTAAAGACTTCCATAAATTACCTTATTGATGTTCAATTACAATTTATTCTGAATTGAATATGATTCCAAAACATTTTTACCTCTATTTAAATAATATCTTCCTTATTTCAATGTTTACTCCAACTCAGTGTTGCAGATCAATAAAGTCATATTTCTAATAAAGTGTTGGGAAAAAATAAGATGAGTTTGGAGTTAAAAATATAAATAATCATATTTATAGCACCTCCACAGATGTATCTCAATCCATTCAGAAGATACCTAACACTCATGGCAAATGGCTTAGGGGTTGCTCTGATATAGGTTTCTTCTTGTTAAAGGGCCCCTATTATGCAAAATCTGTTTTAAGATTTTAACCCACAATGCTATTCCTTCATCACTGTGCCAAATGTTGGATTTCACTTGATTTATGCAGGGTGATGTACTCCCTATGAATCCTGCTCTCTGACCAGAAGCTTCTCTCTTTCCTGGATAAATTAGTAGCCATCACCCTTTTATATATTGGGACAGTAAATTCCGCGACCTCCAGGAAGCTATGACTTTTTTCAGGCCTGGTCCAGGAAACATTATGCTCAATATCACTGATCAGAGAGCAATGATGCAAAGCAGATGCAAAGCAGAGCGTGATTATTTCTGCGTTGCGTTCCAAGTTAAGATGAAGATGAAGTAGCTCTTTTAGCAGCTAATCTTCACAGTGACAGCAACTGTCCATCTTTTACTAATCTCTAAGTTCTTAAAGAACTTTATTAGAAAATTCACACAAACACCACCTATAGGTGCTAGTGCAACAGCCATATGGTCGATCTTACAGTATCTCAATAAGTAGTTAATGGTTCTATTACTAATTCATATTGGTGTGGCCTTTATTATATTGTACTCGTTGTTTGGTATATTAGTTCATATTCAGCAACATTTAACAATAAACCAGGCCTCATGGGCCGCTCTCCTACAGGTTTTAGAGGTTTCCCTGCTTGAGCACAGCTGATGTCCATAATTGTTGATTTGCAGGCTTTTTTGTGAACTGCAATCATCAGAATAAGCTGTACTGGAGCCAAGAATAATTGAAAACTTGTAGGTCATTTGCCCTTGAGGACCAAACTTTAAATATGCTTGCTTTCTTGATCACATCTTTATTAAAGAACATTGGCATAAAAGTCTAGCTACACCTCACATTCAACCGGGTTGCATCCTCACCTGTGCTCCAAACACCACACATGATTGGATATCAGGCCAAGACAATCTATCATGCTTAATATTGCTGAATTGCAACATGATCCCAAAACATAATTTTAAGATCCACCTTGAAAACGAAAGGGCCTCTTGAAAGATAAATATGAACTTGACTGTGTGGGTTGATCACTAGGACAAATTTAGAACATTAAACCTTATTTAGACTCTGGCTGTTTGGTTGGACCTACATAGAATCAAAATGGAATTCAATCAGCTGAAAGCACGATGGATTGTGGGTAAGGTGTTTTTGGGGGCTTTTTTTCAGCTATGTTTCAGTGAAATACATACAAATTTGCACCCAAAGGTTTACATTTGGTTGTAATCGATGGAATTTAAGACATTCTCACAAGGAAATATTTTGTCTTGCAAACTTTCTTCGTTATCCTGACAAATAAAGAATACAGGAGAATTCTGTCAAATGTAGAAGATAATCAGCACTTGAAATATATAGTTTCTTCAGCTTCACGTCTTTCATTCAACTTTGAAGAAATGTCCAGTTTACAAAGTTGTCCCCTACTTTTTTCACCAGTTATGATGACCCTAATGTGCCCTGGAATGTCTGTAACATAGTGAATGTACTCCTAATTACTATTTCCCTAACTGATGCCTTTGCACAGTTTGATTTAACAATATACAAAGCAGTTATTCAGGTAAATTTTACTTGCAATTTGCAGAATGGAAAATCTCATTTGAACAATTTTTCAAAAAGCTCACTCACTGACATAACAGCAGTTTGCAAAACAATGTTTTTAATTTTATAATCTGGTTTCAGATGTAAAATTCTCAGGATATAGTATTTCACATTATCTAGTCATATTTAATAAATTACAAGATGTGCTCCAATGAAGCTTATTATTTCAGATTAAAAGTATTATTATAAGTATAAAAGGTTATTAAACATTATTTTGAATGAGCACACAGTTTTATATTATTGATAGGATATAATATTTTAATTCTGAATGTTATGTTTTTTTTTTTTTAGCTGAAAGCAAAAATCATTTAAATTTTAGATCTTTTCAAAATCATAGTTTCTGTAACTCATTTTATGGTCACAAGGCTGTATCAAAGTCTGTTCTTTAGTGTTATTGATTTATCTTCACTGATTATCATCGGAACCCATTATCCACAACACTGTTTAAGCCTTTGAAGTAAATAACTAAGCAAAGCATGTGACTCTGACTTAGCCTCGGGCTCAGCTTATGATACTTATAAAAACACAGAATAACATAAACCACCAAAAGGCAAAAAAGTACAACATAAACAAAAGTCCAGAGCAGGAGCCCATGACACAAAAGTCTTAAAATCACACATTTTATTTTCACCTATTTAAGGAAATAAAAATGGGAAGATACGTTCATTATGATGATGCTGAATTCTCCAGCAATCCCTCTCAGGTTGGTTCAGTTTTATATGTTTGATTTATTTATGGCTAAATGAGGAGTGGCTGAGAGGCAAATGGTCAGCTGTCAGTGCTGCTTATGCTATTCTGATTTCAACAGGCTTCACAAAGTTACTGTTGAAGTGATTTTCTCTGGCAAGTTGATTTAAAATATATGCAACTAGAAAGTATCATCCTAAGAAAAAAAAATATGTCCAAAAAATAGAAAGTTCTATAAAAATGGAATTCATTTGATAAAATATAATGCTGTATATCACACTCATTTGTTGTTACATACTGAGAAATACAGCAAAATGTTTGTAAATGGAAAAATTACCATTCACCAAAATGTTTGTTCTGGTTTATGCGTTTCCTTTCCCTATTTTTGACTTAGTCACTCCTCCAAGCAAACTCTGCATACAGTGAGACAAAGAAAGAGATACAAAAAGAGAGGTCTTTGCTAGTGGCCTTTCTGAACATTTTCCAAAGGTTTTGCCAGTTGCTATGGATATCTGGAAAAAAAGGTCTGCTTGTTAAGTGTTCTGTTGTCACTACAGTCCAAAGGTGCCCAGTTAAAGCTTTATTCCTAAAGTGAGTGCAGCCCCCCCCCTCTCCACTGACAGATATGAGCCGGTAGCCATAAAACTCACTAAAATAAGAGGAGAAAAGTTACCATGAGAGAAAACAGTGAAGTGGTTGTTATTTAAAAGCACATTTTAGACTTTAAGCCGACTTTCAAGGGAAAATGACGTCATATATAAATAACTTTGGCTATATTAATTATGGGTCAATGATATAACTCTGAAACTCATCAAATGGTAGTGTGCATAGAAGTTTGAGAGAGAGACATCTATAGTTATGGTATGAGCTTAGCTGGTTGAATGAAAGAAGTCAGACACAGTTATTAACAAATTGATGCATTAAAAGAGGTATCAATTTAGTTTTAAGTTTTGTGTTGCCAGATTCAGGGCCGCCTCCAAATGAAATCCCTACAGATGAAATTCTGAAAACTCTACCCTTTATTTTCTAGGTGTACCAAATTCCACCTCACTTGCTGACTTAATAACACCTCTGGGGGCTCTGGTGAAGAATTACAGCTTCTCTTTGTCCTCTTTAGATTACTACAGTTTGCCCTGTGTGTAATGATGGTGACCCATTGTGCTGCAAAACTAAATCTGCACTGTCATGCCTACAAAGAGGTTTGCCCATAATGACAGAAAAGCAATCTGAAAAACATAATAAACCATGGATA